AAGAAAGAAAGAAAGAAAGAAAAAAGAAAGAAAGAAAGAAGTTAGATCAAAATGGATTAATAAAGAAAGAAAAAAAGAATGGACTTAAACCAAATGTATTAAGAAAGAAAGAAAAAAAGCAAGCAAGAAAGAAAGAAAGAAAGAAAGAAAAAAAGGAAGATTTGAGTTGGATCAAATTGGATTAAAAGCAGAGTTAAAAAGAAAGAAACAATGGACTTAGAACAAATACATTAAGAAAGAAAGAAAGAAAGAAAGAAAGAAAGAAAAGAAAAGAAAATGATAACGACAAACAAGGAATGCATAGAAAGAAAGAAAGAAGGAAAGAAAGAAAGAAAGAAAGAAAGAAAGAAAGAAAGAAGTTAGATCAAAATTGATTAATAAAGAAAGGAAAAATGAATGGACTTAGACCAAATGTATTAAGAAAGAAAGAAAGAAAGAAAGAAAGAAAGAAGGATAGAAAGAAAGAAGGATAGAAAGAAAGAAAGAAAGAAATAAAGAAAGAAAGAATGAAAGAAAGAATGAAGGATAGAAAGAAAGAAAGAAAGAAGTTAGATCAAAATGGATTAATAAAGAAAGAAAAAATGAATGGACTTAGACCAAATGTATTAAGAAAGAAAAGAAGGATAAAAAGAAATAAAGAAGGAAAAAAGAAAGAAAGAAAGAAAGAAAGAAAGAAAGAAAGAAAGTGATATTAAATGGAATAAAAGGAAGGAAGGCAAGGAAACCCAACCGACCTTACGCTTTGACATCCGCAGATCTCACTCGGCGAAATTCTCCACCACCAGAATAATAATAATTTTTAATGTTATCCATGGCTCACAATTTTTATCTAGCTTTTTGTCCCTTACTCAAGTGAAAGGTTATGTTATAACTTGAGGGTTTGGGGGGGGGGGCGACAACTGTCATTCAACTATGATTACTTTCCTCTGTTGGGATACTCAGGCTGGGGTGGTTTTTAGTTGGCGAAGACGATACGGGTGGAAGGAAGATGGTCAGAACACGAGAAAGACTATCATATTTTTATACTTGATGACCTTCAACTCTTCCTCTCCACCTTCCTCTTCTCTACAGTTCAAAGGTCAACTCATCACGAGGAGACACCGATATTGATGAGATCCTCCACCAAATTAAAATAACACTGCACCATTTTTTTGTTCATAGCAGACAAAGTCAACTTTAGCTGTATTTCTTGAAGAATAACCAAGAATCGAACCCATGCTTAGCAAATAACTAGATTTATGGACTCACCTGTGCACTTCCTGAAGAACGAGAATTTCACAGTAAAATCATTTCCATGTTATGAATTTTTCTTATCTTTTTATGTGTTATGACCTTTCACGACGTGGGCGATCACGGCTCTCCACCTCTCTCTATCCCTTGCAGCTCTCAGCAAGTTACTTCCCTCTGCTTCCTCCCCCAGGCCACGTTCTGTCATCCACTTGCACAAGCTCGTCAGGTATGTCACGCGTTGCTTTCCCTTGTCTCTCTTTCCCTCTATTCGACCCGTGAGCATCAGATTCTCCAGGCCCTCTTTCCTCATTATGTGTCCCAGAAACTTCAGCTTCCTATTTCTGATGTCAAGTATAAGCCTTCTCCTCGTTTGCAACCTTTCCAAGACCTCATCGTTGCTCACATGCTCGATCCATGATGTCCTTAGCATCCTTCTGTAGAACCATACCTCCATTGCCTCGAGTCTCTTCTTCATCTTTGAGGAGACCGTCCAACATTCGCTGCCGTAAAGAAGAACAAATGTCACGTAACAGCTCAGTATTCTTTTCTTTGTTACCAAAGAAATTCTGTCTCGTAATACTCTGCTCAGCTTTTTGAATGTTTCCTTGGCCATCCCAATACGTCTACGGATCTCGGTGTCGCATTTACCGTCCGCTGTCAAGACGTTTCCCAGATATTTAAAATTCTGCGTCTGCTTGATTCTAGTGTTCCCGACCTGCAAAACACATTTTGGACTCATCCTCTTACTAATGACTATGCATTCTGTCTTCTTGTAGTTTATGCTTCGTCTCTTCTTCTCACACTCCGTCGCTACCTTCTGTAGGAGATTTTGTAATTTCTTTTACGTGCCTGCTATCAGTACCGTGTCATCTGCGTATCTTATGTTGGTAAGATTGTGGCCACCATTGCTAAATCCCGGTAGTGTTTCCAATTCCTTCAGAATTGCCTCGCCGTATAGGTTGAACAGATCGGATGAGAAGACGCGTTCGGGTGACCCGAAGGCGTTAATATCACTAAGACGCAAGAGGGTTTGTGGGAGAGAACAAGAAGATTTTATTGAGGGGAAAGGACAATAAAAGAACGGGATTCAGAACGACAGAAAATGGCGACTTACATTGAATTTAATTTTTTTTTAATTGTAGATGACAGGGAAGCAAGGCACCGGCAGAGAGTTCCACAGGCAAGAAGTGCGAGGAAAGAAACTATCGGGGATATGTTATACTTACATCTATCTATTTCAAAAGTAAAAGTATGAGACTAAGTAGCCAATCTAGTAGTTCGCTTAAATTCACGCGGTTGCGGTACGAAAGCCAGAGCCGGCGCTAGGGTCACCCACTCCGCGAAACTTTTATACAAAGCTCCCTCTCTAATGCATGTCGAATTAAAAGTTTCCCAACCTCGGGGTCATATACCCTCGAAGGAAAATTGGAGGGGAAGGTCAGCACTCTTTTAAATTACCAAAAATCAGGGAATTATCCAATTTAAATGAAAATTTCAGTACATATTTCAATTTCAATAGATAAAAAGCCAACAAAGTGATAACAACATTGACAATAACTTTGATGATATTTATTATATACTAGCAGGAGATCCCGGCGTTGCCCGGGGATGTAACAGTAAGAGATAGATCAAGTATCGACCATCATAAAGACTGAAAAATAAAATTGACAAAGATTATTGTTTAAGGTTGACGGACACGCATGTCTTAATTAGTTTGTTTTTGGGGTTTTTTTAAGAATTGGTCAAACCCAAACTCAAACAAAAACATTGTTTTCAATCGTTATGAGTCTACCAATTGAATAGAATTTTATTATAAACAATTGTCTTGTAAATCGAATTTTTAAAGCATTCTGAATGTAAAAATAAAGAAAAAAGTGTGCAAGACAATAAGAAACACTACCTGCCAAAAAAAAGTGAAGTTTTGTTGAAATCGGTTGAAAAATGTAGGAAATCCGATCCAATATATAAACGTACAGACACACACACACACACACAATCTGTGTTTTATAATATTAGTGGACTTTTGACTAAACCAAAATGGCACCCCCCTCTTCCGGGGAATGTTGCTGTTGTTTTTTTTTGTTTTTTTTTTTTTTGGTGGGGGCTCATGTGCTGTATTACTGTAAGAAATTTGATTTCAGCCCAATAGTCAGGATTAAGGGCTGTGTAGGGTTTGTAACGGGCTCCCTGTGAAAACTGTATTCTCTTAGTAAGCCCAAATCCCTGTTTAATCCTTTTTGATGGGATTCTATTTCAAAAATATATTTTAACTCTAATTTACGTCTTTCTTGTTGGCTCTTAAATGAAGACGCAAAAACACGTATCTGATGTCATCAATGCTGTGACCCGGTTGGTTGAAGTGTGCAACGAGAGGTATTTGATGCTATGCTGTCTTTTTTTTATGGTCATTGAACGGTTATATACAATGTGTTTGGCCAATTCCGGCGTTCCCCAGTATTCAGATCCTCCTATATATATATATATATATATATATATATATATATATATATATATATATATATATATATATACATACATATATATATATATATATATATATATATATATATATATATATATATAACATATAGTTTTAAGGTATGGTATATTTATGAGTTAAAGTGCTGAATATTATGGATAGAGCATATGTAAATATAAAAATAGTTGACATTGAAACTAACACCCAGTTGTGACAGTATGTTTCATGGTTAAACGCAATTGTCAGGTCTGATATATATATATATATATATATATATGTATGTATGTATGTATATTGTATGTGTGTGTTTAAAACTTATCATGAAACGAACGAATATTATAGTAATTCTAGGAAATGACATTCACTTCAATCTGACTTTCAGTAGAAGTACGGATAGATAGATAGATAGATAGATAGATAGATAGATAGATAGATAGATAATGAACTGAATGAGATAGATAGATAGATAGATAGATAGATAGATAGATAGATAGATAGATAATGAACTGAATGAGATAGATAGATAGATAGATAGATAGATAGATAGATAGATAGATAGATAGATAGATAGATAGATATGAACTGAATGAGATAGATAGATAGATAGATAATGAACTGAATGAGATAGATAGATAGATAGATAGATAGATAGATAGATAGATAGATAGATATGAACTGAATGAGATAGATAGATAGATAGATAGATATGAACTGAATGAGATAGATAGATAGATAGATAGATAGATAGATAGATAGATAGATATGAACTGAATGAGATAGATAGATAGATATGAACTGAATGAGATAGATAGATAGATAGATAGATAGATATGAACTGAATGAGATAGATAGATAGATAGATATGAACTGAATGAGATAGATAGATAGATAGATAGATAGATAGATATGAACTGAATGAGATAGATAGATAGATAGATAGATAGATAGATAGATATGACCAGAATGAGATAGATAGATAGATAGATAGATAGATAGATAGATAGATAGATAGATATGAACTGAATGAGATAGATAGATAGATAAATAGATAGATAGATAGATAGATATGAACTGAATGAGATAGATAGATAGATAGATAGATAGATAGATAAATAGATAGATAAATAGATAGATAGATAGATAGATTTGAAATCCGAGGCTGAAGTAAAGCCAATGAGACCACATCAGTGTTGATTTAGTCGGAATAGCGAGAAGAGGACTGGCGAATTGTGGATGCTTACTCTCCCCCTCTTCCCCAGCGATTCACTCTCAGCTACCCCTAGCGGGACTAATAATAAATTTGTGTTCAATTGTAAATGAACCTGTTGCAGGATTACAAAAGGATGAGACTTCACGAGAATGGGAAGTGAGAAAATAGCTATATCGGATTTAGGGGAGGGCTCAAAAAAAAAAAAGAAAAAAGAAAAAGAAAAACTCTGTCTTACTCTCTCTCTCTCTCTCTCTCTCTCTCTCTCTCCACTATCTATCTATCTATCTGCTTCTCTCTATCTCTTTCTTTTTCTCTTTCTTTCTCTTCCTCTCTTTCTATCTATCTATCTATCTATCTATCTATCTATCTATCTATCTATCTATCTCTTTCTCTCATTCTATCTATCTATCGCTCTCTTCTCTCTCTCTTTCTCTTCCCCTACTCTCTCTTTATCTTTCTATCTTTCTCTTTCTATCTCTCTTTGTCTTTCTATCTCTCTCTTTATCTCTCTCTTTATTTATCTATCTCTATCTTTCTCTCTGTCTCTCTCTTTCTATCGCTTTCTTTCTCTCTTTCTCTCTCTCTTTCACTCCCTCTATCTCTTTCTCTCTCTTTCTCCCCCTCTCTCTCCCTTTCTCTCTCTCTCCCCCTCTCACCTCCCTCTCTCTCTCTCGGGAAGGAAAAACAGGCCGGCTTTGGACGAAGCTGGAATAAATGTCAAGTAGCATTTAGGTCTCCAATAGGACAGTCACGCAAACACTCCTCCACCCTTTCTTCTTTTCCTCCACCTTTTTTTATTTATTTATTTTTATTTTATCTATTTATCTATTTTTATATTTTTTGTTGTTGTTGTTGTAATGCTAATTTCCTACCATTCTGTCCCTGGTTCCCAGCAGGAGTCAGCAAAAGACATGGAAGAGCCCCACCCACCGCTGTACCCATAATTTTCCTCATCATCATTCTCACCCTCTTTCATTTCTTCCTCGTGATTATTACAATTATCTTTTTTTTTTATCAAAGTCAATGATAACAGCAATGAAGAGAATGAGAGACAGACAGAGAGAGGGAGATACAAAGAAAGAGAGGGAGGAAGAACAGAGCAATGGGTCATAGATAAGGGGAGAGAGAGAGAAGCAAAGAGAGAAAATAGGGGAAAGACAGACAAAGAGAAAGAGAGAGAGAAATGGGGAGAAAGAGATACAGGGTAAGAGGAACAAGCTGACCCTGGTTTGGTGGTTAACTATTTGCCCATAACTGGGACCCTAACCGGTGCTACCACCCTGGGTCTGTGTGGATGTGGGAACACCAGCAATTAAAAGTTGGTTCCACGTTCCTCAAAACCTCCTGATCAGAGGCCTTGCTGTTGGACGTAGTTTATCGTCTTACCCAGCACACTTTGAACAGGTATTCTGTTCATAATATTGATACAGTTTAAAATTGACTTTTTACAGAGTATTCTGCACTTAGCTATTATTTACAAATGTCAAATTTGAAATTGTGCTGATGATATCTGCATATTTTTATTTTTTTATTTTCTGAATTTTAAACGTCTTTTAATATTTACAAAAATTTTGCACAAACATTATAGGATAATAATTATTTAAATGAAGAATATCTTAATGAAGAATAAATGGATATACTTTTTAAATTTATGCAAATTTTCTTCATAAATTAAAAACGTATATATCTGTTTGTTCTTTATTTTAAAAATTTTTTTCAAGTTTTCATAGGCATAACATTTAAGTGTGGGATACTTATAGGTAGTGTAATGTTTAACAAATTTGCCTCGCTGGATCATTTATGATTGAATAACGAGTTTGATACTCACTGGGTGGTTCAAACTTTCAGCCTTGTGCCACATCTAAGCTAGACTTTGAAAATTACCATAACAGGTAAGTAAAGGGCAGATAACTGTAAAACGACATGGGTTTGATTTTTTTTTTTTTACTCTGTATCGATATTATGAAGGGAGCCCCTCGAAAATGATGAAAATCAATATTTTTCAAATGTCATGTCTCAAGCAAGCTCAAGTGAATTTCCCCCAAAATTTTTTTCACGTTCTTTTTTTTTTTTTAAATAAGGGACCTACTTTTTTTCCATTTGCAAAGATTACCGATCTTGCCAGATTCAATACTGGAGAGTTTTTGATTCTCCCAAGTAGCGTGTAGATTGTTAACAAGATACCTTCATACATAACCATGTCATTTGCTGAGACAAGACGGAGACTATTCATGCAATAGCAAAGTGAGTCCAGCCTGACAGAGGACCTCTTGTCATAATGATTTGAATCAAAGTTTTACAAGGTCAGATGCTCTTTCCTGACACCCAAGTCAAACCGTCACGATAACCCAAGTACACCCATTTGTTTTTATCAACATACCATCTCTAGGAAGGTTACAATGCATGGTTTGATATATATATATATATATATATATATATATATATATATATGTGTGTGTGTGTGTGTGTGTGTGTGTGTTGTGTTTAAATGTATTATATATATATATATATATATATATATATATATATATATATATATATATATATATTTACACACGCTCTATCTCTGATATTGAGCACTTTTATCCCATAAATATAGCACACCTTAAGAGTATATTTCATCATATATATATATATATATATAAAAATATATATATATTTACCTTCAAATACACACACACACACACATTCATACACACGTATAGTGATTTTAAAGTGATGTTTAATGTAGCACAAAGCCGAAAGTGTGGAGCACCTAGTGAGGATTAAACTCATTACTCAGTCGTATTTGATCTAGTAAGAGACGCTTACTAACCACTGTATCATGTACAAGTGTCCCCAACACACACACACACACACACACACACACACACACACACACATATATATATATATATATATACATATATATATATATATATATATATATATATATATATATATATATATATATATATATATATATATATATATATATATATATATGTATCTAACAACAAATGCTCAGTTACAGTCAAAAGTTCTTGTTGGGTTCCAATCTTTCAACTGGCTATCTATCTATATATATATATATATATATATATATATATATATATATATATATATATATAAATATATAAAAGAAAGAGTTTATAGTGATTCCAATGAGAGAAAAGAGTGTATATTATAAAGAAAGAAGAGAGGTGCCGCAAACGTTTTTGGTTGTAATGTGGAATTTTTTTTTCAAAAAATATTATGCTTTATTTTCCATAATTTTACTACACGTGTTTCTGGTCTCGCAACCGTCTTCTCGTAAAAGGCAGAGATTTCCACATATTATTAAAAATAATTAATTTTTTTCCTTATGTTTTTCAATGTTAAATATTCTTGATATGAGACATTCTCTGTTTTTGTGTTAGTAATCCGAATGTCTTTCTTGAATTGGCAGTGAAGAGTTCTGCGCGAATGGTCATAAATCAATTAAAGTTGGTCCAAGATATCTTTTGATGGTATCTAATAATGTTGACTTGCTCATCTTTTTGGTAAATATCATCTTTGGCACTGTGGTACTGGATCTGTGCACTGCCTTTTCCCACTGCTTCATGCATAGGTATTGCTTGATATCTCGAGATCTTTTCAACATTTGTCATCTTAATGTAGAATTATGACTGGCCGTACCCTAAAAACGCAACTCGTAACTTGAATTTTACCAAAATCGTTCTCTTAAAACACTTTTTTAGGAAAACAAGTCCAGTAGCTTTTAACACTCTTTGAGTTACATGTACTATCCATTCTAGTTGTTGCCGCTGTTGGTATTCCTCAAGTGATGTGGTTTCAATTATTTGGTACAGCTCTTTGTAGCACCAGACCACAATGTTCAAAGCAGTATGATCTATGCCAAGAGATTCAGCCTCTTTTTTCCATCATTGATCTTAAGAAGCAGGTATATACATCGGAGAATTTAGATATTTTTGAATAGTTCTCGAACTATGCATGTCATCTATATGATAGTCTAAATCTGATGAGGCAATTTAAGAACATTTGTGTGTACATTTGTTTTTTTTCTTTTTTTAGAATCATTTTCAGAACTATTAATTACCATTTCAACAATCTTTTCTCTCCATGTTACCACTCTCTCTTTATATAATCACAAAACAAAATCTGAAATATTGTGTATCAACCGTAAAACCTTTTGAGTAAAATGCCATTCTTCCTTGGGACAATGTGGTTGGCATTTCAATTGTATCCTGCTACCTTTTGTCTTATTTCCTTGATGGCTGTCCACCTACATGAATATGTGATCCGTGCTCTCATTTGACCAAGTCCCCACAGAATGAGATTCAGCAAGGGTGGGAGTTTTGTAGTCTTAGTGGGGACACTTGTGAGTGTCCCCATCTGACATTTCAGTCTATGAAGATGACAGTAGTCCGAGTTAACACAAAAGGTTTAGGACTTCTGCAGATTCTATTTCTATTTTGTTTAAAATATTTTGGGAGTTATCTTTAATCCATGGTGATTTTTTTTAATCATTTCATCCTAAACAAGGCAATAAAGCCACTAAGACGCAAGGAGTTACTGAGTTTGAAAGAATATGAGGAAAAGAAAAAAACATTATTAATAAGAATGGACAATAAAAAAAAACAGGAACTGAGAAGCCAAAGGTAATGGTTGAAAATTCATTAAAAATTTTTAAAGATCAAAATTGACTGGAAAGCAAGAGACCAGGAGAGAATTTGAATAAAATGAAAGAAATATGAGTCAAAAATGAATAATAATAGACAATGCTTGATCTAAGAAATTCAGACAACTTAAGACTATTATATCTTATTAGTACTTGGTATAAATAAGCAAGAGAAATAAGATGAAAGAAATACTAGTCAAAAATGAATAATAATTGACAATGCTTGATCTAAGAAATTCAGACAACAAGACTATTACATCTTATTAGTACTTGGTATAAATAAGCAAGAGAAATAAGATGAAAGAAATACTAGTCGAAAAATGAATAATAATTGACAATGCTTGATCTAAGAAATTCAGACAACAAGACTATTACATCTTATTAGTACTTGGTATAAATAAGCAAGAGAAATAAGATGAAAGAAATACTAATCAAAATGAATAATAATTGACAATGCTTGATCTAAGAAATTCAGACAACTTAAGACTATTACATCTTATTAGTACTTGGTATAAATAAGCAAGAGAAATAAGATGAAAGAAATACTAGTCAAAAATGAATAATAATTGACAATGCTTGATCTAAGAAATTCAGACAACTTAAGACGATTACATCTTATTAGTACTTGGTATAAATAAGCAAGAGAAATAAGATGAAAGAAATACTAGTCGAAAATGAATAATAATTGACAATACTTTATCTAAAAAATTGAAACAATTTAATACTATTTATACCTAGGCAATGTCAAAGTCCATTTATCAGTAGTCTGAAGAAATAAAAATTAAAAATAGCTTCTTAAAATTCAAAAGGACATTTTTAAACTTGTGCATGAGCAAATATTGTTAAATGCCATGAGATTTCGTTAGTTTCTCATTGCCTTCTCCATGGTGATTTAATGAGTCACTACCTCTACTTAGCTGGCTGTTGACTCATCAAGAGTTCCTCTGCCCTTTGATAGGTTTTATTTTTCATCCTACAGGGTTGCAACTCAATTGAAAGACCTTGGAATGGAGTAGCTAGTTTAGTCGGCAACTATTCTACAAGAGCATACATACACATACTTAA